TGCCAAGTTTGGGCTTCTGCTGACTGACAAAGTCCACAATCATTAATGTCACAGTGTCCATTAAACTATCTTAAATCCAGTCCATGATCCAGACCATGATTTTGGGATAATGTTTATCTGTAGTTTATAGTTTATACATTTTAAATATAAAAATAACTGCCTGCCCCATTTGTTTTAAACGAGTATCTCGGAGTATAGGCAGGAAAGGGAATGATAAAAGTAAATGAAAAGTGATGGGGATTGAGGCAAATTTGTGAAAACATGTTTAAAAGTACATGTCTGTGAAGCTTTTTAAGATAATCCTCCCTCTGAGCAGTGTTATTTTACCAAAGCATACAGTTTCTGAGGTCAGTCAACGCTTTATTGTACTTTGAAGATGGAAATGTGACTGTTTAAGAGTCTCTTAAGTGGCTGAAGTAAAATCCACTGGACGACTTTATCCCTCTGTCACTTTCCATTCCAAGAACAAATGATCTTCAGTTGTATTGAGTCGTCTTAAGTGTAGTAAGAGGGATGTTCTCCAACAACACAAACTCATCCACGCAGAGGGCGGCAGACAGCTCTGTCCTTTGTTCTGTGAAGTGTCCTGTGAGGGGACTGTCTCAGAAATTACTGAAGAGTTCATATTTCTTCATCCAGTCCATCTGTGGTGCCTTCCTCTTTTCTTTGGCGTGCACCTTCATCTTTTCCTCTGCCGCCGTGGCGCTTAGACTCAGGCCCATCTCGGCGAATGGATCCAACAGCGGGCTGCCCTCATCGTCCGCCAGCTGATTATCGAAAAAGGGAACACAGATAGAAAGGTGAAGAGTTCTGACTTTACATGTGGAGCAGCAATGACAGCATCATGCCTGAATGTCCACACCCACCTGTGTGCTGTTGCCCTGGCTGCTGAGGTCGGAGCGCGTGGACCTGATGGACTGTGTGGTGGAGCTGCCGTTGATCTGAGGGCTGGGGGAGCCGTTGGATATGGACGGACCATCATAGTCTGTGAAAAGAATCAAACAATGCACACTTTACACACCGTCTCACAATATTTCCTTCACTGATTCAGAAATCAGTGGAAAGTCAACCATACTCTGCCATGGATATTAATTTGGGAATCAGCGACTGCTTTAAAATCTTACAACACTGTAATTCACCAAAATAACTGAAACAACTGAAAGGACAGACTTTTGGTTTGAATAATTAGCACCAAACTTAACATAGTTTTTCAGGAAACCTAAGAGAAAAACATTCCTTGTCATTCCTTTCTTGCGTAACATGACCGCAACCTTATTCGACAATGTTGCATCCTGGAAGTTCAGATTTTTATACAACACTATTATTCGCATTGGGCAGTGCTACCTTTGACATGAGCAACAGTAGGGATAACCCCCCTCCTCTTGAAGTGATCGTCTGTTTCTGGATCCACCACCAGCAGCCAGGTCTCGTCTCCCCCTTTCTTAATGAAGGCCACCACCTCTGCGTGCCGCATGCCCTCGATGTTCACACCATTTACCTGGAGAACACATACAAAGAAAAGAGGGTTTGTGGTAAGCAGGAAAGAGGTTTTTTGTTGTTGTGTGAGTTAGCTAAAGGTGACGTTCTTGAAAAGATGACTTTGTGGGTCCTGTAAGACAAGATAAGATCAACTTTATTAATCCCATGTTGGAGAAATTCACTTGTTACAGCAGTAGAATCAAAAACGGGGTAGACAAGTATCTGGAGTCATAATAATTTCTGTATCATTTAAGTGAAACATGATTTTCAGGTGAATTCAACCTTATTCCATGATTCACTTTTATTTTTCTTTAATTCTTTTTAAGTTGTTAGATTTTGCTGTACATGCGACACAGAACAAGAATGGAGGGATGAACATTTTAACACAAACAAATACACATGAAAAGTTCATTATAGAGGCATTTAGATAATTGTGTAGATAAAATGATCAAATCACATGATCTTTCATATGGAGCGTAGATAGATGTTTACACTTGTAGTTGGAGTTCAGTAGGTAGATCTTCTTTTGGCATATACAAGAATGACACTAACACCCAGCATAATGTACACTTCATCCCACTTTCTTTCAAAAAGGCAGAAAATATAATAACACTAAAGTTATTTTGGATTCATCATTAGGCCAATCTCTATTATTCCAACAAATGTTTATCCCGGTCAGTGAAGTACACTTATAAAAGAACCTCTGTGTCATCAATGTTTTTACATCGTTGACATATTGTACTCAACAGCGAGAGCCTGTGCTACGTAATTTCCACAGTAGGGGGAGCTATGCATCACCATAATAATTCTAGACAGTTTCAGAGCCTCGGACCACTACACACAATGTTGCTCCGACTCTTGTTATGAATTATTAATTCTTGCAGCAACTCAGGAAGGCATTTAGTGCACAGACGAAGCCTGAAGTTATGATTTACCACAGTGAGACTCCTCTGAAGAACAATTAGCTCTAGGACCAAAAACTTAAGCAGGACTTATTCCACATTGCCCATGGAACTGGCCACACTATCCGACAATATTCCCTATGCCTCTACACCTATAGTAAAACACAATAGCCTGTTATTGTTTGGTCTAATCAATGGACGTCCATTAGCAGTCCTTTGTGCAGACCTTGGCTTCTCTGAGGCCGGCAGCTTTGCACGAAGCCAGGTTAGTGTTGGTACATAATCAATTATTGAAGGCTCTCCTGGGCTCTGGGTTTAGTGGGGGGTGTCAGGTGACAAGAGGCCCGAGGCCGAAATATTTTTTGAATATTCACTGTTTATGACAAGAAGTGAAGCTGAATAGAAGCCGAGGGGTGAAATTAGGTGTACAGGGATAGACTAAACAAGACTTTGAAGGGAGAGAGGAAGAAAAAAAACAAGTCGGAGAGTGAGTGAAGGGAACAAGAAGAAAGTGGGATCAACAGATGGAAAATGTGAATGGCTCCTCTCCTCTCCTCTCCTCTCCTCTCCTCCCAGATCTTCGGTCAGTCAGGACGACACACAGGCAGTTCGATAGCACGAGAATAAGCATCTTTGTATTCAGCCAAACAACAGGTGTTGTGTCATGTTTCACAGCCCTTCATTAACAGTCCATCCCACACAAGACAATACACTCTGTTCTCTGCCCACTGGGCTAATTAATACATGCTGTAGGAACAGTACAGACGCTTATTTCTCATGGGATTATCCCTCAGGAAACCTCTTGAGACAAAAATATGTGTGTGTTAAAGTGCACATCTCATCAAAGCGTGCAGCTACCTGATGTCCAGCAGTTCATTTTTGAAGTGGTTTGTGTGCGTGTGAGGAGGCCGCCACAGACCAACTTTGGATTGATCAAAACAAGCAGGACCGAATGCATGTGAACATCTGTGTATATGACGCATGTGATGTGTGTGACTTTCAACTCTCTGGTCGCCAGAAAAAACCTCTGTATAACACTGAGAGCTCATTTGCTGGGAGTGGGACCACAAGGGTGGGTTAACATGAAGGGCCGAACTGTTTTCTCTTTGAACGTTGAGGCTATTGTGTGAACTGTGCCAGACGCAAAGAAGCATGAGTTGGCAACTGTGTGGCCTATTTTATTACTTAGAAACAATCCAGAAACTGAATTTGGTGGAAAAATTCATAGAAATTGGATGTTTCCACAACAGCTGTCATGCCCTGTGGGAGGTGTGAATTGTGCACAGTGATGTCTTATCAAAGATTGACCATGTTTGCGTTAAAATTCTAATAGTTAATCTTCATATGTCATAAAATAGTGAACAACATGAAACTGTGACTGTATTTCAAAATTGTGCTTGACTTTGTTAAGGTTGTCTGCAGAGTCTTATGCCTGAAATATAACACGTAACAATAATAATACTTTTTCTTCTATAGCTCCTTCAAATACTCGGGAGCAATCGCAAAAATGCATTCACACAAATAACAAAAATTAAGAAATAAAAGCCATAAGAAAACAGCATTAAATACAGATAAAAAGACAAGACAACATTACATCAAAGCAAATATAAGAATAAAGAATAAAAATAAATAAAATCAATAATACACACAAATATAAAAAGAAAATACAGAAGACGACATCAAAAAAAGACAAGTCTGTAAAAAAATAGGTTTTGAGAAGTCGGTGACTCTGTGGGCCTTATCTCCTCAGGCAGGTGGTTCCAAAGCCGAGGGGCCCTGATGGCACATACAGGGTCTGTGCAGGACAACAGCGGTAGGATTTACTCTGTGTTTGTTTGTGACGTGAATGAAAGAGAGAGTGAACTGGTGTCCCATCACTGTGCAGTTGATTTGTGGCCTATCTTGGAATTAGAACCCTAAGTGTGCTGTGCGTTTGTGTGTCACACTGTTGTGACGGATTCGAGGGGTTCAGGGAACGCACGGTTGAGCTCCGACAGAGCAGAGAGCCTGATGAGGCGTTCACTGGTGTCAGTGCTTGTGCCAGACACTGACAGAAAGCTGAGCTCTCTCATCATAGCCTCTATACACCACACACCTCCAGAGTAATGGGGCGTGGTGAGAGAAAAAGACGGCGAGCGACAGAGGGCGAGAAAGGGACCTGTCATGGTTGTTCACCTCGACAACAAGCTGCTGACAGACGATGCAAGAGATGTCATGACACGTGGTCAGAGACACACACACACAGACACACACTGAAAAACCAACTATCTGCACGTGGGGTTCAGATTTTTTGGTCCAAACAAAACAATCACACCGCGATAAAGTTATAATCCTGGCATGAAACCACAGACTTACCAGAACGCTTCAAATCTAATAAAGAATCCCAGTGGACATTAAAGATGATTACACAAGAACACAGAGCCAAAGTCCAAAGCTTCACACAATCACTGAACAAGCTTTCTTTTCACACAAATCTACATGAATACACGAAGAACATATATACATAGATAATACAAAACAGTGGTCAGAGTTTAAAGATCTTTTAAATGTGCCATATCATGTTGGTCAGGAACAACAAAGCTATGGCTGCATCTTTCAGACATTTCAGTAAAGATGAATTTGCTCATGATTGTCTTGATGAGTTTTAGTTTGTAAAATGTAAAAAAATGTTTGTGTGTGACTGAAAACCCTTAAATCTGGAGATATTTCATTTTTTAAAAATCCTGACATTGGAGTCGCTGCATTTGAGTTAAACGATAATCAACATGCTGCTGATTAATTTTTCAACTATAAACTAAACGTATCTATCAGTTTATCTTACATTTACATTTTGCTTTATTTGGCAAATGTGCATCATACCACTAAAGCTCCTTTTATAAAAGAAAAACTGTCACTGACTTGACTGTAGTCCAACTAATTGTGTGTGTGTTTGTGTGAATGTGACTTTACAGTATGAGTGTGTGTTTGTATGGCAGACTGTTCCTGCCATCGGTGACCTGCTGCAGGATGTTCCCACACACTATCACCAGCCAATTAATGTTCCAGCAGAGCGTCGCTTCATCAGCATCCTCTAAAGCTGCGACTCTCACTGCTGAAGTGAGATTTACAACATGCAGCTCGCTCATTATGTAACCACACTCACTGTTTTCCACTCACTACCTTAAAATTATTACTTTCCAGGCATGAGACGGACATTTAAAGCCACAGATAATCCATTTCAGTGAATATATTATTGGGAATATAACAGAAAGGAGATATAACCACATAAATTGGCCGGGTTGGTCGATTTATGAAAAGCGTATCAGCATTGGGAGCTACCAAAAAATGAGTTGTATGTGCTATATATATCATGTAAATTAAGGAGAAGCTGGTAGAAAGTAGACTATATATTTATTGTACTGGGAGAATGGACAGTTTCATCTCTAAACTCAGCAAGAACTTTGAAAAGCTAATTTTAAGTTTCAGGCAACATTTTCTACAAATGGAACCATTAGTTGCCCATGTGGTTTGAAATACATAAAAAAGTTATGTGAAAAAATGACCTAAAACCTACATGAACACTTCATGCACTGTGTGTGACCTCTCTATCGGTCCAGCTCTGCAGCCTGATCTGCACCCTGACGTACAGCCGCTGAGGGCTAAGGTCATGGGAATGAAGGGTGAATGTTGTGTGTACACTGCTTATGATGAAGATACCAGCATTTTTTTTAAACAAGGGGAAAAGTTGATTTAACACCCATGCTCTTTGACACGCATGTTCTCCGTCTTTTCAGAGATTTGAATCAATGGCCTTTAACTTTTATGCGACTCTGTACAATGTGAGACTTTTTAATAATACTGTCTGTCAGTTTACGGGCCTCTGTTATATTCTCTCTCTCCTGCTTTCTTTCAATCATCCAACACACTGTATCAGTCTCCATTTCTATCAAGGTTTTACAAGAGGAGACCCACGTACCACCCCCAATTCCTCAAGCCCCTGCCATTAACAATCAGGCTGATTTATGACCGACTCTCCCCTGTGAGTGGCCTCTCCGCTCTCCACTCTGACATGGAGTCAAGATTGAGTCCTGATTCCAGGTTCTGTTCTCCTCAGAATCTGGGGCCTGACGGCAAGTGTGATTCCTGACATTTTAATTACGGCTGTAACAGTACAATTAGTTGAGGGGTCACATCTGGATTCGATCAGCAAACTTAACCTTTCTGTAACTTGTGACTTCATTTAGATAAAAGCTATTACTTGTTATTTTTTAGAACATGTACGCACAATGATCCTTTCTTTGTGCTGTTGGTGGAAATTATTCTACAAGGACCTGGTGCATTCAAGTGTTCTCACACACCTTTTGTTTATAACCATACCCAATCAAATAATTTAGTTCCTATGCAAACACTATGGAAAACGTAGTGTAGAAAATAACAGGCACCTCACAGATCCTTCATTCACACTCTTTTTTTCCTACCTCGATGAGTCTGTCTTGAGGCCGTAGTCCGGCGCCGTCTGCGGGTGATCCTGGGTCCAGGGAGCGGATGTACTGTCCGGGTCGTGACCGCTCACTGTGGAGGTTAAAGCCGTAGCCCGTATCTGACCTCACCAGGTGGCACAGACGTGGAACAAGCTCGGACGGGTTGACCTGGGGCCGGGGCTGGGATTGCGCGTGGATGTGAGCGTCAGCCTGAGCAAGAGCCTCCTGGATGAAGTGAGAGAGAAGAATATTGTCCTTTTAATAAGTTCCATGCAGAAATCCTCGTACCTTTTCGTTTTCCTCTCATTAAGATTTTACTTGATTGACTGATGCAGTTTTTGTTGCTTGTCAGAGTTAAATTCCTGTCAACAAATGGCTTTACACACAGTGTTGTCAAAACTCAAGTCATATTTAATGTATAATAATGTTAATTATGCAGTGTTTAAAAAGTGTTAAAAAAAATATTCCTGGATCCGTCCCCTGATCCAGATCTGCACCAAGCTTTGATGGTTTTTCTCTTGACCCATACTGCAGCTTCAATCCAGTTTTCCTGGTAATCCGTCCACTAGTTTTTGAGTCCAACAAGCAAACAAACCAACCAACAAATAAACGGAAAAGGGTGAAAACATTTCTTTGGTGGAGCAAAATAAATATTCCAGAGAGTCACCTGGCTTACACTTAAAAGTGAAACACCCTGCTTTCTACCAAGCATGTGATGATATCCAATGACGTGAGACTAAAGCACATGGTTGAGTCATTGGTTCTTCACAACAAGCCTGCAGGGTGGAGAAAAATGTGGGTTGAGTATCACTTGAAGGTGCAAATGAAAGGAGTATTGTAGAGCAATGCAGTTTCACCAGATCATCATCAAAAGAAAAACATATCAGAGTGAATGTGATCAAATAGTTTTGAATAAACAGACTCAAAGTGTTCTTTGTTGGTTGCAAATTGATTCTCCGCTGCCATTCAAGCATAGAGTAGGTGTCACAATTTCATTTTAATAGAGCGGGTTTCCATCTGGAGTGAAACTGTCCATTTGTAGCACATACAGTAAATGAGCCTCTGATAAGACATTCATAGAAGCTGTAATGGCGCCCTGAGCTCTACAGTGTGATCACACTGATTTACCACCCACTTAGAGAGAACATGCAGTGAGAGGAATAATAGATCATGGCCATGCAGCTCTGCACCCCCAGTGGATATTAGCTGAAAGGTGACAAACGGGTAAAGTGCTTTGTGACCAGACAAATATGACACGTGAGTCGTGTACATACAACAGACCTGCAATCACATTACGCAACTTGAGAGATCTATTGTTTTCACTGCATGAGTCCATCATGCACATGCTAAAAATACATATAGAGTATGTGGGCAGGGTGAGAGAGATATAAAGGTACTGTACTGATGATTTATTCTGACAGAAAAAGAGAGAACTGTCCTTTATTCATTTCACCAGCAACATACATGCGCTATGTATTATTACAAATTTACCATGAGTGTGCCTCAATCACCACAATACTGCCTCCAACTTTAGCCCTCAACCGTAAAAAAATAACACAGATGGCAACATATAATTTTATTTGAGGCACCAAATTCCTGGGCAGTGATCTGGGCAGCTTGCCCTGGGAAAGAGGGATTGAGTGAAAAAATGAAAAAGGAGCGAGAGAGGGAGTTACAACAAAATAATTCAGAGCACTTCAACGCTCATGAATCCCTCCAGACCCTCCTTTTCCTGACTGAAGAGGAAGTCCCTGGGTTGGGCGATGGGGCTGGATCTTCCAAAGGAGAGAAAATGTATTAATATAAAAACAAAATCTATTAGCATTCAGGGATCTGGGCAACAGAGGGAAAACAAAATGTCAGAGAAAAGGAGAGGAGGAAGGGAATAGGAGGGAGAGGGTGCGTGGGAGGGATAGAAAATTAGATGCAGCTAAAAGGTCTGAGAGAGAGTTCGAGAAAAGAAACGAAGGAAGCAGAGAAACACAGCAGAGAGATAAATGGACAAATAGAGAGACAGAGAGCAGTGCGGATAAATCTAGACGACAGTAAGTTTCCAGTAAGAGACGATGGGGAGGAAAATAGTTTGCAGTGGAACTCCTCGTACATAAACAGTGAGAGTAGCACAGCTGGGAGTCATTATGTGGGGGAGACGTGTCTGCCAATCTAACCTCTCACTGCCTCTCACTGCCTTTCTGCACCCCACTAATCATCCCCTGGGGCTTGTGCCATCCCTTCAACCCTGCGCCTTTGGCGTTAGCGTCCATTTGGGACACTTTTGTTTCGGTCTTGATGTCCCGTGGGTTTGATCCGTATGAACTTGATTATGAACGTCTGGTTTGGAGTGTCTGTGAGTTAGGGTGACAAAATGACATGTTAAACCGTGCTGACGGTGGATAACTGCATGGAGGACGATTTGTCAGCCTGCAGAGGAATAAATGGCCTGAAGTCACCACATGAACTCAACTAGCCCAGAGGCCATCAAAGGAAAATACGATCATCTGTGTTTGTTTGAAATGTGGGTGTTGAAAACCACGTTTTTCTTTGTGAAAAAAGATATTGAAGGGACAGAAAACGAGATGGAAGGTTTTTTCCCCCTTTATCAGCAAACTAGCCTGTCATCAGTCGGTTATCTGCGTCGGACATTTGTTTTGTTTTTTCAAAACACATGGGAGGAGGAGCAGCAGGAAAGAAACATCCATGTTTTGTTTCGGACTCATGTGAATAACTGCAGAGCTGCTCAAAACAAGTTCACATGGAAAGTTCAGCACTAAATCAAGCTGTAATGACAATAATATGGAATATTTCACGCCTACTGCAGAACATTATGGACACACACACACACGCACGCACGCAGACGCACACACACACACACACACACACACACACACACACACACACCTTAGTGTCCTGACTGTGGCAAACTGAGAGGATGTGCAGTCACAGTGACAAGTGCCATCCCATGAATTCCTTTAGTTTCCTGCCATAATAAGCCTTTGTTTCAGTCCCTGAGTGAGAACATGTGGGGGGCAGTGCAGTGTACACACAATCCTCTGTGGTAGGATTAGGTTCATGTTAAAGAACACATTGATTAATCCATTCATTAGCTTTTTGGTTTTGTTGTCATGTTGGTCGCTGAGCTTTAACTCTGCCATCACTGGTCCAACGGAGGAGTTTAAGCAAAGAGTTTTTATTACCAAGGGAAAATCAGTGTTTGTCACAGGATCTTAACTGGAAAAAAATGATATTGTAATGTTGTATTTAAATAGAATGATTTCATTATAAATAAAGCAGTGACAGTGCGTCTGCATGTGTTTGTGACTGTGAGTCTTGGGAGCCAGCTGGAGATTTATTTTGTGTGTGACTAAGAATGAAGACACACTAGTTTAGTGTTTAACTTGTGTGTGTATTTGCACACACATATTTCCTTCTGCATGTGACCGCTGTCAGTGGCGGTCGCAGTTGATGAAACCAGATCGCAGCTTGCTGAATAATTGAGTGGTAACCTACTGCGATGGATGGATCATGACCACCATTAACCCTTTCACAGCCAAGGATCACTGACTCACTGGTTTGGTTGTGTGTGTGTGTGTGTGTGTGTGTGTGTGTGTGTGTGTGTGTGTGTGTGTGTTTGTGTGCGTGCGTGTCTTTGTTGCTCTCACTTTTATGCTTCCCTAAGGCAGTTGTCATAAAGTTGATAAAGTCAAGTTTCCTTTGAGCTACGAGTCAAGCCATGCAGTGTTTTGGTCAGTACAGAATATTTTGTGATCATTCTACAGTTTAACACACTCATCACTGTAGATGAATGAAACTCACACTACAGTTACAAGCAATGTCTACAGGTAAAAGGAAATAGAAATGTACTGAATAAATGGAAAGCGTTCGATGGCAGGTTTAAACAAATGCAGGGAAAATCCGCCCTGTAGTTAAAATAAACATGCATTCATCAGTTTTTGTTCCATGGCTCCTTCTTCCATGACCTAAAAACTGTGTTCCAGTTCTTTAACGTAATTTCACTGCTTGGAAAAAAATATACAGGAGGCTACGTACTGTTTTCCAGCTATTAAGAAAAATCCCACAATGTTCAGAACACTTTAAATGCAATAAATGGAATTAAGCTACAGCAGTTGACACTTTTGACAACTGACTTGTCCGAGAATGTTTTGGTATAGTTCGGATCCAAACAGTCTTTGAATGACATTTTTATGAATGAAAGTAAACTAAAATACTGGGGTTAATAAGCTCTACCTACGTCACCCACTGGTTTGTGAGCTTTCAGGTCGGGATATTGTCCAGCGCCATCTTGTTTTTGTGGAACCAGAAGTAACTATATTTAGAGGTGAAGCCTGACTGAGAGGTTGAGGACACTGCACTCCCACCTACACCTACGACCGGCACGCACAATCACATGGTTTGCTTTAGCCCAGATCCCACAATATGGGACCATAATTACAATTACCTATACAGCAAATTAACTTCATGCAGTACTGAAGAAGACTTGACGTACAACATATTATATTATTAGAATTTCCCCTCACGGATGAATAAAGTATTTCTATCTCTCTCTCTCTCTCTCTCTCTCTCTCTCTCTCTATCTATCTATCTATCTATCTAACATTTCCTGGAAGCAGCACTGACGCCTGGTGAGCGTCAGCCTAAAGCCTGACTGCACGGAGCTCTCAATGGAAACACTGCTGATGTTGCATGATGCCGGGTGAAGCACTGACAACAACAGCACATGGGACTTTTGCTGATGTCATCTTTGACAACCAGTTGCCATAGAGACAGCAGAGGAACCAGTAGAACCAGTTCTATCTGACAGAGAGAAGAAATGAAGCTTTACAGTAACATGAGGAGGGAACTATACAAACAAGTATAATGTGTAGATTTAATACAGACTTAAATCCTCTCAGTGACACATGGTCCTGTGTGTGTGTATGTGATGCCCACGTCTAGAAAAGACCATATGATGATCATTTAACTGGGCTTTAACAAATTAAACAAGAAAAACGTGCGTGTTCATGTGCCCCACATGCAGCTGCTTTAAATCTGACTCAATCCAGAGAGGAAAATATCCGACCTGTCCATATAGTGCATAGTGGGCGAGAGAAGAGCGAGGAGGGAATGAGAGAGAAAGGAAATGACAGGCAGCTGGAGAGAAGCAGAGAGGGATTTGTAAAAATGAAAATGAAGGAAAGGGGGATGACAGTGAGCTTGGATAGAGAGAA